TAGAGAGTCTTCTAAGAGTTCTAAGTATTTTTCATCATTTTGATTGATGCATTTATTGCAAAGATATGACCGATCCAAACTGTCTCGTATTGTTGCGGGTTCGAATCCTGCTGGGGCGGGATATTGTTTCTCTCTTTTTTCAGTTGTAAATGATATTTTCTCTGTGAAGACATGTATGATAGTTTTTGCTTATTTTTTAAAGCTTTTTTAACAGAGATTCTACAGAAATCCTTTAATAATCATAATCTATGTTGAAAGACTGTGTTACATAAACGCAAACAAAAAATACCTTCAATAAAGTATTAAATGAAATGAGGTAGCACAGCGATCTGGAGAAAAGTTCGGTCGGAAGACCACTTGTTGCCCTAGCAACAAGAAACGCATCTAGTGATTTCTGTCTTTTGTTCTACCAGGCTGTAAAGATTTAAAAGGCGGCCCCTCTGTGTTTTAAGCCTTAAATTTCTTGAAATATTGAAGTAATCTTTCACTCTATACATAACTTCTTGCAATACTCAGTGGTGAACAGTCTTTCATTTGATAATTTTTGTCAGAGGTGCTTGTAAAAAGTCAGAGAACAAAAAAAAACTATACTTAACTTTTATTTCAAATATCCCTACCATCCGCATTATTAATAAATCATGGCTCGCATTTAACACTGAGAGATGAGCGTGTCTTAGAAACAGGTTTGCTGCACATAAATAATTAAGTTCACACTAATGTAAAAACGATCTCACTGACCTCATTTTTTTAAATCTCTCTAGTATTTCTATTTATTAAGAGCTGTCTTCAGTCTCGGGAGTGAACGATTTGTTCATTTAGAAATAATGGCCTTCAGTTCCAACATTTTACGACCAGTCTTTGTCTTACAGAATGTGTGGTTGACATGTTTTGTTTGGACGCAAGACTGGAAGTTTCGTTCCTATATTCTTGCACCAGGAGCAAACAACTGCGAACCGTCGGGTAAAATTTTGGCGGACCACGATGCTTATGCCAGCCTTTCTACGTGCGCATCTATTTGTTTGAGTAATATTCTTTGTCGTTCATTTTTCTACAATCCTACACAAGAAAGGTGTATTTTGACCCCAATGGTCAATGTTTCTTCACTCCAAACTTCTCCAGGATTCCTGCATTTTATCATCACCGGTGAGTACTATATCTTAAGTTCTTAACACATGATATTCTTTCTTAATTGTCTATGCCTATGATAATCCTGAACAGTAGAGTTATTGTTTTCATCAATTCCAGTCTGTATTCGAAATCGAATTTACTATCCTATCTCGAGTACCGACCTACTTGTCTGTCGATATCATCGTATACTAGTATTCTGATGATAATTCTGCAGTGACTTTTTGTGATTTATTCTAACCAAGTCTATTTTTTTGCGATTGAAGCCAATCAGGGTATGATTTGTAGGCAAATTATCATTTAACCCATTTTTAGTCGAACTATAATTTACTGAACCGTTTTGCTCTAATTTCTTAATCTTAGCGGTTATTAAAAAACAAGCACAACTCAATGAACTTAAAGAAGAAGGTACGGTTTTAGCTTTATTGTGCCCTAAAAATTTAATGTTTTCAAACATTTTTGAAACTGGCTAAAATATTAGTTAAGTATATGTCTGTGATAAATCAGGAAAGAATATGCCATGAAGGAGTACCATTCTGGAAATACGACGTCATTAATTTGATGCATTTTTCTATTTTAAACAGAAAAAGCCTCAAAGTGACCAATTTCAAGGATTATTTACCTTAAGAAAATAGTGTCCACAGCTGTCACCCATTTTAATTTTCGGATATGTTGTGGAAAATCACATATCTCAAAATCTTTGTGGGTGATGCCTGTAGACAATATTATCTGAAGGAAAATTCCATTGAAAATTAGTGTCTTCTGCAACGTTTTAAGAAAAGATGCACACGTTTATGATATTATAATTAGCATTTAGGTCATGTGAGAGATCTCTCTGTTTGTAATTTCAATGATTCAGAAAGCATGAGTTTTAATTTTTTTTTACACCCCTTTCATTTTCAAGAAAAACAAAGGGCAAGATTTGCATTGAAACCGTACCTTCTTCTTTAACAATTCTATATAGATAGTGTGGGGAATATCGGTAACTTGCTCACCGCTCCAAACAATGTATTGGAGGAAAACTCGCTAAAATTTTAGCTTCAGACTAAGTCTTCTTCCAATATGTGAAGGGCTTTCTAGGCATCAACAAACTGGTTTGAGTATAATGTTGGTGCAAGGGAGAGTCCTTTATTTACAATTTATAAATTTGGGTATGAGATTACTGGTACTGAATGTTAATTTCTTTGTTGCAAATCCTGATTTGGAGTCGTCAGGAATTTGGAATCCTGTGTATTTGGGTGGTACTGTATCTCACAGGCTGATCCCTTTTGAAAAAAATCCTTTGAGGGGGTTGATCTGGAATATGGTATATGTAGTCCATGTTGATGGTCTATAGCTGCAGCAATAATAGGATGGGAGAGAAGGTGGAATGGCTTGTAGGGACTGTAAGATCTTAAACATTATCACTATTTATGCTGCTTAATTGTCTGCGTTGTTGAAGAGGTTCCCATCCCATCTGCTGATTCATAAAAGTCACCAGTTGGTTTGGTAGTCGGACACCACCTACAAGTATATCTTGCAGCCCAGTGTGGTACACACTACAGCTTCGATGTTAATGTGGCTCTGGGTATAGGGGTCCCACAAGGTACAGGCATATTTCACTTGGGATTGGACCATTATTGTATAGCACATCTTGGTTTTTCCCAGGACAGGATGGAAGGTTCCGCCAGAGTTTGTAGTGGAGTTTGCCTCCTTACACAACTGCAGCTATGTAGTGGTTCCACCTAAGATGGCTTTGTTTATGGTTGACCTTTTTTCAGGATTAAATTCTATGAACCAGTTATTTACTCATCTCATTCTTGAAGAAGTCCAAATTTCGTTGTGGCACTATTGTGCATTCTGGGACCTATTATATTACGGTATAGGAGAATGTTGTCTGCAAATAGACGGACTTCTGACTTGTGCGTGTAGGTCATTAACATACACAAGGTATAACAACGGGACCAGAACGACCTCCTGAGGTATCTCGGATGTTATTGGTACAGATTCTGACATCACTCTTTCCACAACCACTTGCTGGATTATATGACTCTACCCAATGCTAAGTAGGACCACGGATTCCATGTAATGATGTAACTTGTTAGCCAGCCCCTGATCGATGAAAACCGCATAATGGAGCTGTACATGTTGTAGGACATCAATACCGGTATTTCAGAATACCAAAGTTAAAGATCCTAGGCGATAATTGGATGGTTTGCTCTTGTCTCCCTTCTTGACGATTTATGTTACTGTTGCTATGCTTCATTCTGCTGGTTAAAGGCCTGTCTACTCTCTGCTTCACATGACTTCTGTCGCGGATGTTCTGTCAGTCTTTTTGCTTGTCACCTCATCCTTACTGAAAGTTCTCTGCTTCCTCCGGAATAACCGTCTGGCTGATTTATTGCACCGTGATTACTATAGCTATTCCGTTGAGATGTAATCTTGGTCGGTGGCTATAGGAGTGTATTCAGGCACTTTGACTTGAAAGACATCCAGAGTTAGTCAACTGATTATGTGGTCGGCTGTGAACGAATGAACGAGTGAATGAAAACTGGATGAGGTCTTCTCTCATACCATTAAAGTATCCCTGTTTTCACAAATGATTGAGTTGTCATTCTGGTTTCTGTCTAGCTGGGGTCGAGCAATTGCTCAGGCCAGCATGTTTAAAATGTGTTTACACGTGAGGGATTGGGACTTAGTTATAAAAATATCCAACATATCATCTTGTGAGTCGGTGATTTCACAATATGTTCATAATGTCGTGGACGGTGTCAGTGAAGGCGGAATTCCTGGTTACTAAATAGTCTATGATTAATGCTGAAGTCAATGTCTAGTAAGTTTAGGTCGCCTGCAAACCAAATCATTGATTGATTGTAATTGTTCGACAAAGCGCAGATCTATTGTATTTAAGAAAGGAATTAATTTTTTGAAAATTTATGAACTACCACGCTAACGCGCTTCATGAAATATGCCGGCTTGAAGCGTTGAGTTCATGTACCTCGAAGGTTCAAGGCTCAAGCCCCGGTCGAGATAAACTGTCCCTTCGCCAAGCGCTCAGCACTTTGAACTCGAAAGTTTTGGATCTTTAGAATGAGTCCTTAAAAACTAAGGCCCGTGTCACGACATGCATTAGCACGATATAGAATCCTCACTGTTCAATGGCCCTGAGTGCCGAATAAAGGTCTAAATTTGAAGCCCTGTATATGGTCTCATATGAGTAAAGTAATCTTGAAAGGGACGTAAAACTACAACAATCATCCTATCTGAAGAAGCGGTATCCACGTCCCCTAAATTCTAATGTAAACTTCTGCCCCTTACTTGGCGACTCTAACAACTGCTCTACGCGGAACAATTTCTCCTTAGCAGTGGCTAAAAGTTATGGGATCACTTTGGACACTGGGGAGAGTTGAAATTCCTGAGTTAAATGTTAGTGATCAACATTCGTCTTATCCAATTTGGATTTGGTCAAATTGCCAACAATGACTTTGAAATTAAGTATTCTATTCCCCCTCTTTCCAGGTTTAACAGGACAGTCCACTGAGACTTCTTGTAGTTTAAATGTTTGTAATTCATTTGGAAATTCCTTTTGTAGAAAATTCATCATATGATCCAGAAAAAGTTGGTATAACATCTGATTTCAAATAGACCAAGTCAACAGAAGACCAGAACAAAGATGCCATTCTATAAAATTCTAAGAAATCTGATTTACTATGATAAGACAGGGAAGACATTTTTTTTTGGGGGGGGGGGGGGTTGGGGGTTGGGGTGGGGGGTCTCACTTAACACGAAGTGATAAGCTACACCATTTACAGTGCACCTTAAAAAGTATCTGGCGGTTTTATTGTTCATTGTTCTTATATTTTTTTTTATAAATAAATTTTAATGACATATTCTTCATGTCAGATTGTATCCGGTCAAAGGCAGGATGGAATTACAACGGGAAAGTTCACCAAACAAAGAGTGGACGCCTATGTCAGAGATGGGACAAACAGAGTCCTCATACCCATTCCTATCACAATCTCTCGGACCAACACAACTTCTGTAGAAATAGACATTTAGATGGCGAGGAGAAGGAAGGTCCTTGGTGTTTTACAATGGATTCTGACAAGAGATGGGAATCGTGTGGTCTCCCTCCATGCTGTAAGTATGGCACCACACAAACTACAACCCAACCATGTGGACTCCCTCCAGGCTGTAAGTATGACAGTACACAAACTACAACCTAATCATGTGGACTCCCTCCATGCTGTGAGTATCACAGCACGCATACTACAACCTAATCATGTGGACTCCCTCCTTGCTGTAAGTATGACAGCACACATACTACAACCTAATCATGTTGACTCCCTCCTTGCTGTAAGTACGACAGCAAACAAACTACAACCTAATCATGTGGACTCCCTCCTTGCTGTGAGTATGACAGCACACATACTACAAGCTAATCATGTGGACTCCCTCCATGCTGTAAGTATGACAGCACACATACTACAAGCTAATTATGTGGACTCCCTCCTTGCTGCAAGTATGACAGCACACATACTACAACCTAATCATGTGGACTCCCTCCTTGCTGCAAGTATGACAGCACACATACTACAACCTAATCATGTGGACTCTCTTCTTGCTGTAAGTATGACAGCACACATACTACAACCTAATCATGTTGACTCCCTCCTTGCTGCAAGTATGACAGCACATAAACTACCACCTAATCATGTGGACTCCCCCCATGCTGTAAGTATGACAGCAAACAAACTACAACCTAATCATGTGGACTCCCTCCTTGCTGTAAGTATGACAGCAAACAAACTACAGCCTAATCATGTGGACTCCCTCCATGCTGTAAGCATGACACCGCACAAACTACTGTCTGATTATTCTACTGCCAAATATGAATTTGTGAATTTACATAATATATACAATGTACTAGTATTCGAATCACAGATGTTTGTCTGTTTGTTAAATATATTGGCATATATCTGCCCCCTACATGTCAGCATTAACATGCATTAACATGCAACATAATTATGTAGACATGTGACTTATTTATGTCAACATGCAAAATGATTATGTTGACATGCAAGTTACCAATCTCTTTAGAGAATCAAAATTTAATGTTGGTAAATTTACTTACTAATGCCATTATATGACATCATAAAAGCAAGATACAAATAGAATTATGTTAACATACGACTGATTTATGTTGACATGCGAGATAATTATGTAGACATGCGACTTATTTTGTTGTCAACATGCAAGATAATTATGTAGACATGCAACTTATTTATGTCAACATGCAAGATAATTATGTAGACCTGCGAGTTAACATGCAAGATATGTATGTTGACATGCAACTTATTATCTTGCATGTTGGCATAAATATCTTGAATGTTAAAATGTAACTCGCATGTTGACATAAATAAGTCACATGTCTACATAATTATGTTGCATGTTAACATAAATAAGTTGCATGTTGACTTAAATATCTTGCATGTTAACATAAATAAGTCGCATGTCAACCTAATTCCATGTCATCTTGCTTGTATGATGTCGTATACTGGTGTAAGTAAGTAAGTTTACCAACATTAAAATTAGATTCTCTAATTAGATTCGTAACTTGCATATCAACATAATTATTATGCATGTAGACATAATTATCTTGCATGTTGACATACTTTTCTCGCATGTTAACATAATTTATCTTACATGTAGGGGGCAGAAATATGCCACCATAGTTAAATAAGCAACATCGTTGTTTTTAAAAATCATTTTGAGGATAAGAATTGTTATTATGTAACATGCATACTTTTTTTATTTCACCTTTTTCAGCTTACTTGAATCAAAGCCTAATTGAGCTTTTTAGATAAAATTGTTCTGTCGTCTGTCTGTCCAGTTGTCTGTCTGTTTTCTTTTCATAATTTTATAATTTTAGTTGTTCTCCTCTAGAACTACGAGTCAATTTCGATCAAACTTCGGACACACGCATCCTTGAGTGGTGAATAACATATACAGCGTATTTCTAAAATGATGTTTTCTGTTGAAATTCTGTGACATGAAGTACAGAAAAAATTATTTAATCGCCGCAGTGAATCTAAATGAAGAACAAACATTCATTTTCAAAAAAATTCTTGTTATGTTTACTTTGTTTAGTCCAACCTATTAATCGCATGTATCTTGGAATAAAACAAAACAGAGCTTTGTCTTCATAATACACAACCTATCATTTTCAATAATTACGTCAAATATCACAAACCAATCTCATTTGTTCTCAGTATAAATATTTAATCAAACCAATACAACAGAATTGAAATAGAACATTATATCTATACTAGTCGTCTTTCCACCCGGCGAATCGAATCGTTCATTGCCCGACGCCACGTGCGTCAGGCAGTATAAGGATTAATTTTTCCATGGTCCGAAACTAAGCCATGATTCTTAATGAACTAGATTTTGTGCCAGCTGATTTACATCGGAATTTGTTACCTGCATTTAAATAAATACAGTTTGCAGAAGAAAGAATCATATTACTGTTGCAAAATAATGATGTGTTTTATTCCTTCAGTTTTTTGCATGCACATTGTGCCTTACACGGCTTATATCAGGGATGGGGTCAATTACTTTAAAAAGTAATTAATTAAATTACAATTACTTTGACTTTTTCTTCAATTAAATTACAATTAAAATACAGGCTTTCTAAGACATGTAATTAATTAAATTACAATTACTTTGCAAAAGTAATTAATTAAATTACAAATTACATTTTTATTTTTTTTGAAAATTTTTATAATCCTTGTCAATGAATATACAAAACATCATTTATTTGTATATAAGCTCAGCCTCTGCACAAACAGTACAAGAAATAATATGCTACATGTATAGGCATTGTGTATCATTCTGGTTTAATTTATAACATTTATTTACAAAACAATAAGAATCTCTTAAAGAACTATCCAAGATCAGTTTGATGCAGTTTCCACCACACAAAACCTACATGTACAGAAATTGCATGGCTTATGATATTTGATTAAAAGTGAGTATTTTAATAGAGTGAAATGAGTCGCAACTGTAACCCCTCAAATTAAATATTTCCTTTGAAGGTAACCTGAACATCCTAAATTGCTATTTATGTTGAACAATTTTACTTCATAAATAAGAATTGTACAGATAGAAAATTCATTCATAAAAATCTGTTTTTATGTTAAAATAATTATCAAATTGAAAGTTTTTCTTTTCTAAAGCTAGCGGAGCATTTTAAATTGAAATAATTATCTCCATTGGCTTTGTCTTCTAAATCATGGAATGAATATCTCTTTGGAGGAGTTGATTTGTTTTGATTGCAATTTAAAGCTGTGATCTGGAGGGCAATTATCTCTTCCCAACAAAAGAGAACTAAATTAATGACACACACCTTCTTTATCTTTATTATTGATCAAACAACAAAGATTGAAATATGATAAATGTGTGTTTCACAGCTGAATAGACCTAAGAAGGGTGGTTCAAAATTCATATTTATAAATATAGATTAAAAAATTCAAAATTTACATAATGATTAGAAAGAAACTAGTTTATTATTATCAAGCCAATCATTTAATTATTTCTTGTAAACATTAACCTAAGATTTTGTATAATTGAAGGATTGAGGATATGTTTAACAAGAAAATAAAAATCAGTAAAATGGGGAGGTAGTGGTGACGATATATCATGAATATATCATGAATGTGTATTATATAAAGTAATTGAATGTAATTGAAAAAGTAATTGAAATTACATGGTATTTTTTTCAGTGTAATTAATTAAATTACAATTACAAGTAATTGAAAATGTTCAATTACAAATTACTTCCAATTACTTCAAAAAATGTAATTAATTACAGTCAATTACAATTACTTTTTTCAATTACCCCATCCCTGGCTTATATGTATATATGTTCGTAAACTGTTTATTTGTTTTATTCCGTATTTGTCCATGTGAAATGTTTTAGTCTACCGTTTATATCCGTATACTACTTGTGTTACTATTCAGTGTTTCTCGTGCTTTTAACAACTCAACTGGCGCCTCTGCCGCACCACCGTTTTACCATCATGTTTTAAGACTTTAGAGCCACAATAGAGTGAGTTTATAATGCTAAATCAATTTAATGTACATTTTCTTTATATAAATTCAGTTATGAAATATTTCTCTGTGTAAATTTAACTTTAAACTTTAAATGTCAGTGATGTGTATTCAATCTTGTTTTGTTCTTGTTTTGTAGCCTTTATCGTAATATCACTCTTAATGTCATCTGAAATAAAATTCTGAAATGATGATTGAGGCGTCATACACATGTTTATTGAATATTCTTTGCGATTCTTTGTACGGACATGTCCGTGTAACATGTTTTCTGCGTTTCTAAACTACTGGATTCGTCCATTTGCCTTCTACGAAAGGGGTGACACAATCATTTCGAGCCAAATGTCACATGTAAACTTTTTCTTGAATTGTTCTATTGAATAGGTGTGATAACTTCTACGGAATCAGCTTCAGATTTTTTATTAACAGCGAATTTCATGGCCCTTGGGTCAGAGGTTCTGGTGTTAGGGCGGGGCTCTATTGATTACATAGTGAAAATGCATTATTTCTTTGAAAATCTTCTTCTCTGCTCATGGGTATTAAATAAACTAACTAAGTACATAGTTATGATGAGCATGGTTGCCTCTTCCAAAACTGTGAATATCATGGCCCCTGGGTCAGGGGTTCTGGTGTTAGGACGGGGCTCCGTTGATTATATAGTGAAAATGCATTAAATCTTTGAAAATCATCTTCTCTGCTCCTGGGTATGAAATATACTAACTAAGTACATAGTTATGATGAGCATGGCTGCCTCTTCCAAAATTTTGAATTTCATGGCCCCTGGATCAGGGGTTCTGGTAAAAGGGGGGGGGGGGACTCTATTGATTACATAGTGAAAATTCATAATAACTTTCAAAATATTTTTTTCTACTCCTGGTTATAAAGCAAAGAAACAAGTGTATAGTTATGATGAGCAAGGATGCTTTTACAAAATTTTTAAAACTTGTGGTCCCAGGGGTTCTGTTGTTTCTCTGAGGGGGGGGGGGCTCTATTTGATTATGTGGTGAAAATATGTGAATTCTTTGAAAATC